CCCTCCACCCTCTACTCTGGATAATTGTCCAGCTATCAGCTGTTTCTGTGACCAGCTTCAGCACAGCTTCAGCAGTGTCCCCGAGGCTGCTTCTTTACAGGCTGTGTCGAATCCATGTTCACTATTATGGCCACGGGCTGTAGGTGGGGTTTATGCTTTAACTCACGATTCGCTCAGTACATATGTTGTGGGCAATTTGCCCTAACTGTTCTCAGCTCTGCTGGGTCTAATGTATCGCTAATGATAGTAATATCCATCCATCTTCCAACCGCTTATCCTTGTCAGGGCGCTGGGGGGCCTGAAGCCCATCCCAGGCAGCAGAGGGCACACGGCTGAGGGATGCAGTCCACCACAGGACACATGCAGAATCATAGCGCTCAGGCAATTTATAGCGGCCAGACAGGAGGACCTTAAGGAAACCCACGCAACTCCTAAAGGGGAGGACATGCAAAATCATAATAATAATAATAATAATAATAATACTCAGAGGTAGGAAGTTTAGGTCCAGCAAGTACCAAGAGTTTGTTCCAGCCAACCAGTTAAGTACCACGTGAATGTTATATATACTCAACTGGTTGGTTGAAACAAAATCTTGGTCTGGATTTCTACTTTCTGAACCTGAACTTTCCACTAATACCTGTAAGTCTTTGTACTGCAGCATTTATATTCTTCCAAAGTGTCTACTATTTAGGGCACCTGACCCCACGTCTCAGCATGCCCCTTCTATTGCACCCTACCGTCTGGGTGGCTCTAAAGGCAAACTCATCTGTACGGGGAAGGGGGGGGGGGGGGGGGGTATGGCCTCTAAAAGGTGCTCCAGAGCCCTGAAAGGCCACGGAGCCAAAGTCAACGCCCATTGACCTGCACAGCCCTGCTTCATACGCCCTTTATTTTGGCGTGTCGAGTGAGAAGCGGGCCGTGGCTGCGGATTAAAACACGCAGATGCGCACGCACACACAGGCACACGCGCGCACTGTATCCCGAGGCCTCCTGCACACGCTAACAGTGAAGCATCTGCTCGGCATGGGGTGGGTTTTGGAACTTCATCAGACGGTTCGTCTCTCAAAGCAGAGAAAGAGACACGATTCAGTCTCTGAAGCCCCTCTGCCCTCTTCACTCTTAATAAAAAATCGATCCCCGCGTGTTTAGTCAAATAGCACGTTTTCAGCTGCTCTGCCAGTAACCAGTCCTGAAGTCTAACAGCTGCTCCTCATCTCCTGTCACACACGATTTCACTGTTACTGTCATATGTCATACATGGTCTTCTGCTGGTTAAACCGTGTCACTGCTGCTCGGTTGGTGCGAAGTGGCCTAGATCGCATAGCTGGGAGTGGTGCAGAACTGACAGGGAGGAAGGGGGG